CGTGTATCTGATACGCCTGGTTTCTGACTTCCCGTGATGCTCATCATTGAAGCCTTGAACCCTCGCGTAAATTTCATGTTTCATGCCCCCCCTTCCAAACTCAAACAGTGGCCTACTTCACCTGCCACCTAAACATAGCACTATAGCACGTACCGGAAGCGTCCCAGGGGGGAGTTGAACCCGCGGGGGGGGGCCCCCCTACACGTGAAGTTTTCACGTGATTCATGATTCTCGAGGCTGCGAGCCCTTGACTTGCTAAAGCAAGAGCAACTCCAGCTAGCTGATGCTAGCTTTCGTGATATTTGCAAAAAATTGGCTGGCGACATCGAAGGACCTAAGGATTGGTGGGGAGTCCCTACTTACTTGTCGTTTTAGGATGTTTTGTTGGAGTCAGGGTCCCCTTTGCACTCCTGAATGTTTTCGTTTTGATCCTTAGAGAGCTTGCTTCTAGCTGTTTTGTTGTTTTAGTTGCCTCTGTGCACCCTGAACCGGTTCTAAAGCTTACGGGTATGTGGCTGAATTCCAAGGAGGATGCCTGATTTGATGATACGGAAGAGTCGAATTCGATGTGCCCATGCTATATATATATATACATTATAAATTGATCTGGGTTTCTGAGTTGTTTAAATCCAACTGCTGTTGGACCAAGTTTCCACTTGCCAAACATCTGTGGCGAATTTACATACTAATATATCAATATATATATATTGATATCAATTATGATTCGCATGGGATGACGCTGCACCTCTGTTTGTTTTTTGTTTTTTTGGTGTTGAGCCTTTGCTTGCAGTTTCAGCTCTTACAGTACATTGCATGTCAAACATCAATCATACATACTCAATACATCTCAATACCTTAGGTACGCGTCGCCACTTTGAAAGAGGTAAAAAGACACTGCGGGTTGAGATTGGTCCTTGCATGTCCTTGCACCCTGATGTCCTTACTGACTGATTTCACTGTTCGAAAGGAAACTCACACGAGGACAATCAGGCTATTTCAGCCTGCCTGTCACAAGTTATCATACCTATAATCGTCACCAAGCATCACTGCCATGGACGGGGCGACATGCTCTGCAGGGTTTCGAGGGCAGCTTGGGACGCCATTGAATTGTCATACTCCATCTGCACCACCTGAGGGCAATCAACTGCCCAGCGCTAAAAACAGCCCAACGGTTCAGATGTAGTAGGTGGATGATCTCAATACATAGTGGGATAACTCGCAAACATATTGACATCGGACTGCATCATGCATCCGTGACCCCATGACTCATGTCGTGCTTCAACTGCCGCACGCCTGTATCGCACCCGCTTTCAGAAGCTGCTCACCGGAGCGGAATGCTTCTGTTTCGCATCCACGGCAGTCGGCTTTTAGCAAGCACACCTCAAAGCTCAAATGGGCAAACATCTGACAACATCTGACAACCCCATTTAAGTTCTGTAACCTTTGGTTGCAACTTAGCGTTTTTGGCCGATCGAAGGAGGTCGCTTGCGCCTTCATTTCAATTCATGCCACAGGCTAGACCATTTGCCGCCAAAGGAAGAAAGAAAAGAAAGCAGGCTTAGTAGTCATTTATAATTCATGATGCGATCCCAATCCATGCAAAGTAAAATAGTGAAACAGTATGAAACAGTTGATTCCGAACCAGAACGTGGTCGTCTTTTGATCTGCCAAGAAAAGCTCCGCTCGTGTGATATGAATTACTGTAGCCGAATCTAGTGGAAACAAAATTGCCGGATTGCTCGTGGTGGCCCGAGGCCTTGGTATCGGACAGAACCAAATCGTCCAAGCGGATTGCTTCTGCTTGTGTCTTGCCATCTCCACCTTCACGGCTTGCAGACCTTGCCAAGCTCGTGATTCGCATGCCCCACTGAACAAACGCCGGAAGCGCAAAAATTTGTGAACGTTTACTGTTACACTTTGCTATAGTTCATTTAGAAAGCCACAGCACACCTCTATTTACCTCTGCTTCTTTCGGCCGACAATCACTGCAAAACATTCGACTACTGTATATTGATACGTATTCAAAGCCTCTGCAACATACACATTCCGTCTGTTCACCAACTACATACAGTAATGCGTTTCTTTGTGAGGTGAGACTTGGAGTGAAATCAAGTTACAGTAATATCATGTGATATCAGTGCTTTTTTTGCACACTGCACGTGCTGCACGTGCTCCAAAACTAAATGCCCCAGCGCTGTGACCAGTGCTGCTGTGCCTCTTCTCCCACCAGCGTGCTTCGTCTACAAAGAGCTTTCCACCTCCATCTGCCAAAGCCCCGTGGCGCAACTGCACCAGCTCCCCCCAGCCATTCAGCTCCAGAGTCTTGGCCATGTACCTTGCAAGGTGTCCATCACAGTGCATGAGCCAAGTATCTACATCGTCATTGTCTTGATACCAACACGTGCCTTCTGTTTTCTGGGAGTCTTACCACCACTATGTTGCCGATGTATATTATATATGGACATTGAAAGCTACACGGTGGCAATAACCCGGCAGTGTTTTGGTACTTCTTGTGCACGCACCTGCTCGCTGTTGTGTTAATATGTGAATCGGGTCAATTGCAAGCACATGCAAGCATCATGGAGGGCCAGCAGGACAAGAACCGAAGCAACTCTTTTGGGGATTTCTTGGAGTTGGTGTGGCCGAGTCGCTGAACCTTGGTAGCACTTGGCTCAACAGCGACAACCTGAAGGCCATGAGCAGCAGCTAAAGCCGTGAACCAACCGAGGTTCATACCTCCGCCGTCAGAAACAAACCGCAAATGTGCACGATGCTGTGCAACATGAAGAAATCGCTCAAACACCCATAAAAAATTAAATCCATGAAGGAAAACATATCCATGGGCAAGTCTTGGACAATCTGCGAAAAGCAATCCACACTTTCGCTCACTTTCGGAGGTCTCAGATCCAAGGCTCCGATGTCGATGACCACTGAGTGCTGCTGAGCCTGAAGCCACATTGACATGAAGGTGACTTGCCAACGACCCGATTACAAACTGGAATCGGAAGTCACGCAAAGGCATCAAAAGAGCCGACACTGCTTGTAGATTTCAGGTGTTGAAAAGCAACACACACACACACACATGACATCGATCTGGCATAATTTAAACAAAATTGCCAAAATACACGGTGTACGAATGTATACTCTCCGTTTCTCCATCCCTGCTTATTTTTGGCGCAGCCGGGCCACACACCCTTCATCAAAGACCCATTGCATCAAAAGAGTCAGTGGACCTCAAACACAAGACTGTACAAAATGGATCAAACTAGCATGAACTCAAGACAGTCAAAACATAAAGAATCCAGCACTTCCAGGTCCATCATGAGCAACGAGCAACAAAACGAAGCCTTAAGCGATGCCAAAATAATTGCTAACTTGATTGCATTTTAATTCAAATGCTTTCACAGCAAATTGACAATGCAATGTAATATCTATCAATCATTATGTCAATATGTGATCCTTTCAATTCCATAGATGCATTCCACCAAGGTACATTCTCGGAGTTTCTTGGATCGCAGCTCCCGCGTGGCGGGATCTCGGCCCGACCCCGAGACGACATGAAGCCAGTGGGGTGCCGCCCAAGAACGGAGAACGACAGCATCCTCAGCGGCACATCAGGCCATTGCCTGAACTTCTTGCGATCTTCAAATGAGTCGTCATGAGTCTGAGACTTTCTGATATTGGGATGATGCTGATGCTACAGTTGACAAGCCTCAAGCAAAAACACCTGCACACAGTTTCTGGATATTTTTGTTGTCGCTTGCCAAACAACACGATCCTGCCCAGTCATGCCCAGTCTCTGTTAGTGGCTCGACTCTGGTCTTCAACTCTGGGGTCATGCTCTCCTTGGCTGGGACATCAAGAACCAGCCTCATGCAACCCAGAATCGGCTATATAAGGCAGTTTTCCGGGAATGATTCACGACATTAACATTCTCGCAAGCAATGAACAATGGCAATGGCCAATAATTAGTCACGATAGTATATAACAGTCTGCAACTGGAAGGGCCACCAACGTCCCTTAACCGATTCGAGCATCGAAGGCTAATGATTGTCCTGCTGTCAACTTCTCGAAGCCATCTTTGGGCCTTAGTTTGCACCACTCTCCACCGAAGAATGATTTGATTCTGGATGTTCCTCTTTTCGTGTGTCGCCAGCGTGCAACTCTGAAAATGAACCTGCCACCTCTCGAACAACTTCCACTGATGGGTTCATAAGGCGAATGCTCCACCATGGCTGCACCAACTTCCTCACAAAATCATTTTCCCGCAAAGCAGAACAAGTGAAATCGATCGAGACTAGCAGCCACTAGCACACTAGTACTAGCTCACCTTCTCGTAGAATCACTGGAGAACTCCAAATACCCCGCCGGCCCCTTTCAATCGATCCACTAGACATGCAGCATACATTGTGGTGTCCTGGGAGCCGCTGATCGTCCGCAAATTCCAGGCCACCAGGCTCACACCAAATAGTAAAATCAGAAGCAAGCCTGCCGATCAACATGGACTCATGGCTTGATGGTTTCGCATTGAACGAATTTGTTGGCCACATTGGAGCTGGACTGCACCAGGACATTGGCACAATGAACTTTGCTATCGTCATCCTCTATGCACTGGTCAGGCTACAAGTACTATTTGCTTGTCAAGGCCTTTTTCTTCTCGAGGCCCGCGCCTATTCTCCGCGAGTCCATCTTGCACCGTCATAGCTGCAATCACTCAGCATTCAACATACGTCTATTCGCTTTCAAACTAAGGTGTGGTGGACTCCACTCAACTTGTCTGCAAAGTGTGCATCTCTGGGCTCAGTGAAGCTCCCTCAAAAAAATCGTGATTCGCTGTCCTAAAAAGCCCAAGGAGGTACAATTCAAGGGCTGGATTCTTCTACTTATCAAGTCAGGTGGCAGGACTTTTGCTCGATTGCTGCATGTAAGCATACATGAGTTGTGTCTAATTTTCTTCGAGTGTGATGAAGGTGGCGGTCCCATGATTTGAGGCATTAGATGCATTTATGCATGTTTATTTGGAGCCAAATTCTTATACAGAAGCCATCAAGCGTTGCAAAGAATATGGGACTCCATGAGCAAGGGTTGGCAGGAGAAGTTCTCTGATACTCCTGGCAGGTTGGAGATGCTGAACACTTGACATCGTCTTTGATCAACAAAGCTCAAACTTCTCTCCCCCTCTCTCTGAACAGCAAACAGTCGAGCAGTCCGCCACTGCAGTGGGCGTGCCAGGTAGGAGCAAAGCAATTCACGAAAGGAAATGGTACACAATGGGGAAGGAACATGAACTTTACAGTAGGTGATGCTGGATGCCACCCTCCCTCCCCTCCCTCCCTTCACACAGTTTCGCTCTCAACTCCCTGAAAATCCATATTTTTTTCCGCAATCCGTGGCTGGTAGCCAGCTGGACACTCCCGGCACTGCTCTCGTCCCATGAGGACCTCATGCACCTGGTCACTCAAGCGAGATTGCTGTCCAAGTCCAAGATTTGATGCACAAGTTAGGTTGTTATACTCTTTCGCGAGTGATTGATGTCTTTTTTCCAGCTGCAAGCAAGGTGCATATCGCAGCTTGTCAGGATCCTCCAAAAGTGCCCAACTCAACTCTTGTCAAATCAACTCGCACATACTGAGACCTATGACAACATCTATGGCGCTATTAATATGATCTGGCTGCTGAGCAACAGCGAAACTATTTTAGTGAGCGGGTATGGGTCCACAGCCGCCCAATCGTGCCCATTGCACCAAGAAACACTATCCTTGTTACTAGTAGCTTCTTGTTACTAGTAGTAGCGGCCTCCAACCTAATAGCGATGGCCTCCAACCTATTTGCGATGGCCTCCACCTAATAGTGTCCTTGTTACTAGTAGCAAATTAAGCTGCTTCAAGCTTCCCCCCCGTCGCTCTACATCTGCCTTGTAGTCATGGAAGCTGATAGGGTACGGAGAAGCCCAGAACCTGAGGCAGCTCAACAGTGGATGTCACCGTGCCAATACAGGTTGCTAGCAAATGTGGCGAATATATATATATATATGTGTGTGTGTGTGATCATGTGTGTGTGTTCCTTGGCCCAAGGCTGGTTCTCCTCCAAGCAGGGCATGAAAATATGGGCTTTGCCACGCCAATGGATAGCAGCATTGCCTGGTCACTTGAGGCCGGAGGGGGTGAACAAAAGCTAGCCGGGGAGGGAGGCGTGGGCAAGGGAGGGTTCTGACCGCCTCGCTAGTGGTGTGTGGTTGGAATCTTCGTGTCGTGTCAAGACCTATGTCACTGGCCAGCTGCACTGGCAGCGCCGCCAAAGTCAAACAATTGTTCTATATGGAAGTTAACATGTGCCTATTCAGTGCAGTGAAGACACCCAAAAAGTTAAGCACAGAAGTGGTAAGTGAAGAAAACAACATGAGGTGGTCTGGTAGCTCTGGTTTCAGTGCTCCAAATTGGCGCTTCGGGGGGCCCCGCAAGTGTTGATATGTAGGGCGAACGCGGCCGGCAACACAAGGTCTAAAAACTCTGCATCACAGGTGCGTCGACGCTGGGGCAACATTCCTTCTCTCTCGGGTCAAGGGAGTGTCTCTCTTTGAGGTGATTTGAACAGTAGGGATGCAGGCTCAAAAGGGATGGGATGGCTGAAGCCACCACTTTCAATTGACGTACAGTAACCAAACCAACAAAAAACAAGCTCCAATCTGGCACTGCAGCAGCAGAACGTCAATCAGGCCCAGAAGGTGCAGATTCACACAACTCCGGTCCAAACAGCATGTCAACATGTTCCTCGTTCAGCATCTTTGTGGCTTTGATATGCTTCAATCCTCCCAATGCTCTCCAAACAAAACCTCTCTTCATCTTTTCATCTATGTTCCAAAAATTGACTTTGTGGGCTGGTATTATTGTTGCCTTTAAAACCGAAGGCCAAAAAAAATTACCCTTGAGGATGCAGGTAGTCTTGCATCTACTTGCACTACGTCCTCCCTGAAGCCCACACGCTCACCCACGCGCACGGTGGAGTTGAACCTCCCAAAAGGGGGTCCATAAGATTGATTTAATCAATCATTTTCAGGTTTTTGAGGCGCGTCCACCCCGTCATTTAACTTGCTATCGCAAAAGCAACTCCAGCTAGCTGGGGCTAGCTTTCGTGATGACAAACTGTGGCCGTCTGTCAACACCAACCGTTCCCCTTTTTAAGCAGCCAAATTGCTGTCAATGCGTCGCGGATCCGGCATTGTGTCGCCATACGCCTGAGATGCCAGCGCTAGAGTGCTCGCAAAACATGAGAGATCGTGCAATGCAGCCAGGGTTCATGGTACGGAGCATGTAGTGCCATGTCCTTCCCACGGATGTCTCAAAAAGTCTTCGCAATTGCATTGCCTGGTTGGCTCAGGATGGCCTTTGCTACGACGAGCAAGCCACTTTCTGCGACCCATCCTCCATCTGGTAGTTCAAGAAGTACTCCCGACCCCAACGATCTGCGACATCTGGAAAAGGTCCAATGCCAACCTCCTGAGTCAGTCAACAGGTATGGATGAAGGAGCGGTAGAAGATTCATATATATATATATATATATCTCTCTCTCTCTCTCCCTCCTTCCTTCCCTCCCTCCCTCCCTCCCCCTCTCTTCCCCCAAAACAGATTTGCGTAACTTGTTCCTCTATCATCCTCTACCTGCATCTTGCTTAACTTTCTTTCACCAAGACTCTGCAAGGCATAGTCCCAGCCTTAGTTCATGCAAATGTCCCTCACTCATTGCCAGTCGTTTGACATCAACATCTATCAACAATACATGCAAGGTGCGCCAAAATGACGGGACACTTTTCACCATCCACATCCACCATTGCCTAGCCAAGCTTCATTATATCACCCCGATGTCCAGGTACGACCTGGCCAGCTCTGGCAACAATCAGTCAACGCACACTCTGGCCACATATTGAACTTCCCACATGCCACATGGAGGCCGAGTTTGGCTCAAGCAATGCCTGGCCCGCGCCTCACACCGAGCATAGGAGGCTTCTGCTGCCCAGGGTGCCTTTGACACTGTGCTGCCCAAACGCTTTACCGCGACCCTGCTCAGGCACTGCACCTCACAAGTTGGGCGCTCTGGAAGTATGCCTTCACTTCGCGAATGCTGAATGGCATGGATAGGCACGGCACAACATGTGCAAACCATCCATCAATTCCATCAATCACACAAAACGAAGCACCAGTCTATATACATGACTCCAAGTTCAAGTTGACCATCCTCCGTGCCTCTACTTTACGCTGGCAAAGGAGCATAAGGAATAAGCAAGCACAAACAGGAGAAGAATTGGGCGCCTGCTCATTGAAAACCACCCGTGGCTCAAAGTGCAAATGCCAGTATGCCAGACTGCCCAGATAGAAGGGCTCCTTTCATAAAAAGTCGCTTGGATCTCGCTGCAAGTGCATAGCTGTGTTCGCGCTCTCCAGCCAGGAGCACAGAACTTCAGCGTCCTCCGGATGAAGCTGGCGCCCTTGAACAAAGCGCCGGAAGTTTGCCGGAGAAAAGTAGCTGTCGGTCTCCACCTCAAATATAGCTGTGGGATGCTGTGGTCCCATGCCACAGTTATCAACTCCATGCGAGCGCACAACAAATGAGCAAAAGTGGCACAGTCGGCACAGTGTAGGGGATGTCTAAGTGATGAAATCGAAAGGACCCTGGACGGCAGCGTCACGGCATAGATTCCAAGTCACACGACAAACCCAATCTGGCAGAGTCTCCTCTCTGGCCAAGTACGCGAAAAGCAAAAGATCCTTTTGATTTGCGCCAGAAATCCTTGGACTCCAAATTTGTTGACGAGTAGTCGGGTCGTTTTAGTGTCACGTTCAGCACTGAATCTGGGGCAACTGTGTTTCGATCACATATTTACAATCATGGGCTTGGTGGAGGTCTTTGACCAAGAAATAAGATGAAATAAGAAAGGACAACACAACGCTGAGAAAGGAGACAAGAAATAGCCACTCGCTTGCTGCTCGTACTAGTAATTGGATTGAATAAGGGCTCGCAGCCACACAAATAGAATCAAACAGGATTGACATGCACAGTAGGAGGGAAGCCACAGCTTAGACCAGAAAATTATACAACCCTGTTCAGTCTTGTGTCCCCTGTCGCCCATGTGCAGCAAGGACATCGGCGCGGTCTCGCAACATGTCAGGCCAATAAAGAGCTAAATCCACCACTTCAGCACCTCAACACGCGCCCAAAATACAACTCAAGCATAGTTCAACAGCCTGCGTTCCCATGGGATCTGCGTGAAACGCGTGGCCTGAAGAATGTCCACTTAGTACTCGTCGGGCTTGAGCGCCAGTTGTTGCATCTGGCGAAGCCAGAAAGAATATAAGCCTTGGACTTGGTGGCGCCCCCCCCAAAAGAAATGAACACACACACACACACCGCAATTGAACGTGTGAACATACAATGATAAACAATAGTGTCACGCGCATGTGAGACTTGCCTGTCACATTGAGAGCCATAAGTCTCCACAATAGCTTCAGCCGCTGTCTCCTCAAGAAGCCGAGCCGCGATTGGGAGACCTTTATCGACTGAGAGGGGAGAGAAGTCATCAACAGGTATGCAACTCGACTATTATATAGTTAAAATATGTTATGATACAGTAAAGGATTCTGCAATCATCTTTACTAATTGTACTATGTATGTTGCAATGATCTGAGCGTTGATCAGCTCAAACAACTTTGTTGGGTCACGTGAGTCACGCCCATGTCACCTACTCAAGCCCAAGTTGCCTCCCCTGGCCATACAACTGGTATGGCACAAAGCACAGAGACCTGAGCTCTTTTTGAGGTCTCAGAATTGCAGGCATTGCATTTCGTGCCCAGTGAGCCGCTCGCCTCGCCGCTGGCCTGGTCTTTCAGGCCCTCCAAATGGTCACCTGACTGAGTGATGCATTTTACTATAATATATATATATATGTGTGTGTGTGTGTTTCTTTAAAGGGGGGGTAGGCCACTAGTAGAGGTAATAGCCAGGTCCAAATAGATAGGTAGCTAGTAGAAGTGGAGTCTTGTGTTACAAGTGAGCTACTACCGACAGGACGCAGGATTGCTCACGCTTCAAGGAAGCCCCCCCTGCCGCCCTCAAGGCGGCGGGGGAAGCTTCCTTGAAGAAGCGCTCGCACAAATGACTTGGTTTCTAGATTTTTAAGTAAGCCTTGTAAGCTTCACCTGAGTTGCACCACGTGGTGCAATCGCCCAGCTTTGCTCCCGCTTGCTTCACGCTTGTTTTGCCGGGAGTGAGGTGCCGTGCCTGGAGGTGGACAATAGCTTCCTTGGCGAGGCCCTGTTGTCCACCAATTGCTGTTGGCTTGAACTGGTGGTCCGACAGACAAAAAAGTACCTGCAAAATGGGAGGTATAACATCACGAGCAGGACGTTTAAAAAAATAAAAGGATTAACACAGAGCTTCGGAAGCCAAAAAAGGCTTTGAACAATTGGCATTGCCGCGTTGTTTCCGAGCTAGCTGCAAGGGCCGAATTGCCATGCAGTCTTTCTCATTGCTGCCGTAGGCACTCTCTCCGCTGCCCCTTTTCTGGGCAATGATCGCAGAAGCTGGAAAAGCAGCAGCCAGGAAGGTCCTGAGCAAAGTTCAACGGCTCAATTTGAACTGTCTGAGGTTTCAGGGGTTGAAAAGGTTACACTTTGAGCACTGTTGGACGCGGGTGCAGGACCCACTGTTTGCGCTCCCTCGCGCCACTTCTGCCAAGGCGCTTCCAATTTTGCAACACTTGTCCTGTCCACAGTGGCCAGTCAGAGCCATCTAACGTGCCTGGAAGCCACAAGAGTTGGACAACTACCTATATATATATATACTGTAACTACCCAAGGTCATGCTGGAAGCATCTCGGCACCTTTAGTCAAGGCCAAAAAGCCAAGGCCATGCTCGTAGTACCTGATGCTCTGTGCAATGCTATATATAATGACATATCAATAATATATAACCATCTGCATAAAACCTGCAAACATTCCTATGACCCTGTCGAGCGCACAAAGCGCTTTGCCGAAAATGCCCTTGAACCCACATCCTTGAGACTCGAGCTTGGCACAAAAATTCACATTGCACGCCGAAGACAATGATGTCCACGTATGTCGTATGTCCTTTCTTCCCGCAAGTTTCAAGGTATATTGCCAAATGCTGCCGCGATTCTGCAAAGCGCAGCCCATCATGTAGTGCAGCATGCCTGGCTCAAGTAATGAGTCGTGAAGAATTATAAATTCTTAGGTTGTACACACCTTGCTCCTAGTAGCTTCTTGTTCCTAGTAGTAAGGCCAGGAGCTACTAGCTAGTAGCGATGCCCTTTGTTCCTAATAGCATCCCAGTAGCAATGAGTTTCAGATCCAATCCTGCTGCGCAAGGTGCCGCAGAAGTCACCGTGGGCAAAACCTGTCAGTGCACAGCCTTCACACAAGCGCCACACTACAAGAAGGAAGAAACGGTCAAAAGGAGTCTAATGGTCAAAAGTCTAACAATAAAAGGAACAACGACAACTATTCAATCAGAAAGAGCAGTTTCACCAATTCTGACCGCCTCGGCGGAACAACTCAGGGCACCCATGAGCAAGGCGGTGGCTGTGTCCTGTTGGCTCTGCGATAGTGTGTAATGTCATGAAAAATGTGCCTCGCACAGGTGTGGGATGCACTGAGGACACCCCGCCGCCTTACTAGTGGCGATGCCAGGAGCGACTAGTAGCGTCCTTGCTCCTAGGACCGATGGCCTCCAACCTAATAGCGATGGCCTCCACCTAGTAGCATATCCCTAAAGAATGTCTAGGCCTTGATCATTTCATATCATTTCTGTCCATGGACCTTCGCTATCCAAACTATTCTTTGTTGCCTGGCTTATCACCCCTGGGGGCATGAGTTCAATTCAGATTCGTTCACCATTACTTGTCACTGCTAAAGTGTTTGTCCTGATTTCATGTTGAGTGCGGGTGATGTTTTGCGGGGACAGTCAGAATGGAGAATGAGCTGAACTGGAGGCATTGATTGTGAGTCGTGGTCGGAACGGGTGGTGATGCCAAAGCTATACAATTACCGTACCAACCAGTGCGGTATAGTTACTCTTTCAATCCAACAGGCGAGTTGATGTCCTCTTCACCCTTAAACTCTGCCCCAAACTCGCCCTGCCTGCCTGGCATTCAAAATCAGCAATGCATTCAAGCACACCTCGGATTGATGCAAACGAACCACATCAAACTTACAGCAAACGTTCGTGTGAACAGCTGCGGTTTTGCTGTCAAAGGTCGAGTGATGTCCAAATCTGGCTTGAAGATTTGCCACATCTCCCCGCGCACCTGAGCGGGGTACAATCACTCGGTTCCTTTGTGTTCTTGTCATTCCCTCAGTCAGGAGTGAACTCAGGATGACCAAAAGCATCCAAAAGCTTTAAACAACATGCAACACGCCTGATTCCAGTGGCCATCACAGTGATGTCCTGATTGTGTTGCAAATCACGTTTCAAGCTGGCTGAAGATGATTGAAGCATTGACGAAGCCCGATCATGATCAATCTATATACTGTTGCGCGAAAGTTCTCCTGCATCAGACTGTGCCGCCACTACTGCTGCCAACGACGCCGCAAGCATTTGAGACAAAACACTGAAGCCAGTCACAAACTGCACATGACCCATCTCCAACACCAGTTCTTGCAGTGATCCAGCTGCACTCATTCTGCATAAAGCATCATAAAGCACTCTTATATATGGCGCTTGTAGCAGGACGAGCAAGCTCGCCAACATCATAATAACTATGCAAGCGACAAGGATATGTTGCGGTGCTCCCTCTACATGCACTGCAGTAGTTCAGTCGCCAACATCTCACTCCCCCTCTTTGTTCCTCCTCTCCGTTTCTTTCCATTGCTTCGTTGCTTCTCATGCTTCTCCCTGCCCCTCTTTGTTTCTACAAAAGCTGCTTGTCCAGGTGTGGAAGTGCTTTTGACCTGCTCTTTGGATTGGCCTGCCCAGCTCCGGCTTCCAAAAAGACCCCATCCATTCCCGAACAAAATGAGAGAAGCGATGCATCGCAGCCGGCAGGTCTTTGCTACCTCATGCAGCAAGGGTAGATCCTGCCAATTGCAGAAATCGGTGATCCCGCCACTGCAGGCTTGAAATGGGCAGGGCGGGGCTGTTCAGCGCTTGCTGCTTGAAGCGCACAAAAAGATCAAAGGCAACACTTTGCCAGCACCCTCATACTTGATCATACTGGAGGACTCACTTCCACTTTTTCTTGAATTGGTTTTAATGGTTTAAGAGTTTGCATGTGTTGCTGGCCTCTCAAAGTTCCGCTGCCTCTATAACCGCAACCAAAGCCTACAGCATTGAGTTGCTTCTTTTAAGCCGGGCTTTCACGAGCGCTCGTGCCCTTAAAGCTTGCTAGTCAGAGATGTATTCCGGAGCAGCATCCTTGAGCGAGGCCAGGCAATTGTGAAAAGCCGATGACTGGCGCGTCATGCGCAACAAAAAGTCAATGAAACCGTTTGGGCAGTTTTGTGCATCAGCCGGCATCTGCATGTCGCCGCCATGTCTGGACCAAGTCGAGAATCTAAGGCTACAAATTTCAGGGAACTAGGGGCTCCTGGCCTTACTACTAGGAGCAAGTAGCTACTAGGACCATTTAGGAACAAGCTAGTAGCTACTAGTAGCATGTGCAAGCACTTATCGCCTTATTGCACCGATGCACCGGCCAATCAAAACCAAGCTTCGCAGCACTGGTGCGATCATCCCCACCCATGTTCACAGTCAGGCCCAGCTGTGGCGTTCGAGACATCCTTCTGGAATGACACAGGATGCCATCATTGACACAGGATGGCATCATGGTGTAGCAAAACCTTCCCTTCCCCTTCTGAATCTGATTCCATCTTTCTCGCACACTTGACGAAACCAACTTTTCAGTGTTCTCTCAGCCACAGCTATCAAGAAATATGAACATTGTCTTGAAGTCACGCTCAGCCAAGCAACTGGTAGTCGCCACAAAGGCCCTTCATCTGGCGATATATTTCCAGGACTTGCCTTTGACAAGCCGCATGCAATCATACAACCAGTCGTTCCTGGACATGTTGATCGAATCCTAAATTCCAACGTGTTGTAAAGCTGGATGATAGCAATCTTGAAGCCTTGTCAGGGCCTTGTCATTAACACCAACCTTCAATGTCACTTGACCTCCTGTCGCATCTGCCCCTCTTTTCCTGCAGCTTGGGAGCTTGACTCCTGTCGCGCCTACCGGGTGACCAAAGGAGATCAAACCGCCTCCTCGACACATGAAGAATCAAACATTCATACATCCCAGGTGTTTCTTGCATTGCAAAGTTTTGGTCAACCAAATCAATCCATTCTCCGAACGTGCGGATCTTGGTGCAGCATGGACCCTCCAACCCCCTCCCCTCCCCCCCCAAAAAGGCAAACAAATGGCACACAGACAAAAAATTGTTATTTGGCAGAGCTGCTCGCATCACCTAGCAGCAGCCTAAACCAAAAAACACACACGCATATGTATATATATATAGATTGGGTAGTTAATAGATACTTATATACGTACAAGCAAGTATATTAATATATCTATTTACCTCATTTACCGCTAGTGATGCTTGGGAGACTTGCCACTGCTCTCCTGTGTTGACTGGAATCTTTCCCGTCAGGGAGGTGGCACCCGACTTCAGCAGCTCAGTACCTGGCCGAGACCGATTCACTACTTCGTTCAAACGGATGCCGGAAACGACGACATGGACAAAACACCGTGGAACACCCTAAAGAGTCCTAAAGTACACTTCCATGAAACCTCCATGACTTCATGACATCCATGCGAACATTTAGCCTCCTGTTGGTCCTATTATGTCCTATATTTGCTCTTCTGTTTTTGCCCTGGAACAAGGCCGGCCTTTTCCTGGGCCTGCCAGGCCAATGGCCTCATACATGAGGACCTCTGCGATGGCCTCAGAAGAACAACTCGCCTTCATGCAGTACATTGCAGTACACAACTCTCTTTGGATGACTCAAGACTACTCAATGTGAGAGGCATCTGGATCTCAGGTGTTTGTTCCTGTTTGTTTAGTTTTGCTTAGCCTTGTGGAAGACCTCTGGAACAGTCTGAGACAACGATGGAAACGAAAAACAACGAGCTGTTTGCAAGATTCTGGCAGCTCTGAGCGAGCTGCGAAGCAATCATGGACCTCAGCCACCTCTAGGTCGCTGGGGCTCACTCCAGCAGATGCCAACATCCGGGTGACTACCTGACACAAACAAATTAAGTCATTATGGCATTACGCTTCAGCATGTGCCGTGCTCTTCCACACAAGTTACATTACATTCGTGGTGACATACAGGTGCATCCAACAAATATTTCCGTGCAGCTTGACCAGCAACCTTTTCCGAACAAACCCTTGATTGGTGGACACTCCGTCCGTTTCTTGATGTCTGTGGGTTGGCAGATCACCCAGTGTGTTGGTCTCACCATGTAAGAACTGGAAGGAAGGCCTTTGACTAGCGGCATCATTTTTCCAACTCTGCTGTAGGTTGCTGGTCTGAGTGGCAGCTTTTGTGGTGTCCATCACAGTGAGATCTGCAGGATCAGACCACAAGTCACCTCCAAAGCGGAAAACAAGGGTAGTGAAACAGAGATGTTCAACTCAACATGATTGCTGCGTGGCATCATTTCCATTAGCCGTGATTTGTGTGCAAGGGCCTACACCATAGTCTGAGGCCACAATCTCAACAGCTGACTGCTCATTCAGGCCACTTCTCTTCAAGCCCTGGCCAGTATGTCATTGCAAAGCTGATCCAAAGTGTGGGCTGAGAAAGGAAATGGACGGAATGAAGTCAACTGGCTGAAGGCTACCAACCCAGCTGCCGCCTCTTCGGACATAAATATAGCTGCCGCACCACCATCCGAGACTTGAGAGCAATGGGTGTGTTGAACAAAGGGCCTGCGCCAAGTGATCATGAGTGCCCTAAAATTGTGCTGTATCATGTTGCATCTCAATGACACACCATAATTCCAGTATATTCCAGTCAGGTTGAGGGATAACCAGCCAAGGAGCTTAAGATCTGCATTCTGCAAGAACTCTTTTCCAGCAACAGCTTTCTCTGGAGGTAGCTGGATCTGAGGTCAAGATGCAAACTTCTTGTGTTTCTTCGGCCGCCAACCAACCCACTATCTCCCACGGCACGACCCAAAACGCAAAGCACTTGTGCTGAGCGGCAGCATGCATGTGTGCCAAAGGGTTCTTATTTCCTTAGCTTTAGTAGGAAAAATGCAAGTTACACCTGTCTTGCCGGTATCAGAACCAATGATGGAAGGACGCTGGAGTGCCACTTAAAAAAAACATATAAACATCATTATTAGCTGATGAAGCAGAAACATGACAAAATCACAGGCCAAGCAACCATTGGAGTAGGCCTTCACTCCAACGCCAGCTAAGTCTGCCATTTGCACATCCTTGGCTCACAGGTGGTAGAGCCAGGCCTACAACCACACACAATGCAGCAACGATTCTTTTCTCAGCTTTGAGCCGTGGCCTCTGTCTGTGGATCCCGATTGTTCTGTCGGAACCCCTCCATGCCATTTGGGTTGTGCTCAACTCATCTGACAGCTAAGCATCTGGGTACTTTGTCAAGTAAGCTTTGGCTCGTCGAGCGAACAGCGCAGGGAAGGTAAAATCGTCGATGCCTCGCTGCTGCATACTGACTGTAAGCAAGGATGAAGTGAAGTCATCCAAGTGAAAGGTGGCTTCACAATGCCAAGCAACTGGACTGGCGATTAAAATCTGCAGCACGTGCTAAATATGTCCCTCCCGTCCGCGCATCGGCCTGATGGCAAGTTTCAGCCACACGGTTTAGAATTGAATGTCAAGCACACCACTAGCAGGGGTTGCATAATGGATGGCGCACGTGCTCCAGCAAGCAATGGCTCGTCATAGGCAATCATACATAACATGGTAGTGAAAGGTGGACATCACAAAGTCAATAAACCCTCACTTTGCATCGCCTCCGTCTGCACTTCCACGCCAACTGCCATCACACAATCGTCTCCAGATTTGATGGCTCCTTGACGGGTTCGCATGGATTTGCCAGCCCAGGATGGAATCATGATCAATCATGCAATGCCAATACAGTGTTGTTGTGTTCTGGGCTGACGCAAAACTCAAGACTTTCAAAGACTTGTTCCAAGAACAATGCAAAATGGCCAGGGGCCAGGTTTCTTATTCAATCCATGGCACGAACAGCCTCTGCACAAGCCAGGCCACCAGATGCACAGGCAGCCTGCAAGCAGTGGTTCCGCATGTCACCAACACCTCCCTATGAATCACACATTTTGTGCATCTTTGGGCTGCATCGCTCAGATTTGCTAGATCAAAGATAACAAATTATATCAAAGTACAATTTTGGAAGGACGTGCCATCTGTATTGGTCTGTGCAAACGAGTCGGTCGTGCGTCTGCAACATCAGCTGCCAGGGACCGCCGGTCCTCCACCCGCATGGATGGCCGGTAGAGCAAAGCTGGATGAGCTGCTGCCACTGCTGCCCCAAGGTGGCCCTGGCTATTGAAGAGTTCGCCTGTCCAAAGGAATCAATTATCCACGATCAACGCCGAGGTGAACCAAGAAGAACTGGTTCCAGCCTGCAAAGTTGCCGACCTCACAGTCGATTGAATGCAACATGGCCGGGACATGCCCTGTTTTGTCTTTTGTGGACGCCTTGGCCTGCAGATTATATGGCATGCAGTTGCTTTGTCTTTGCCAGCTCACAGGCTTCTGCACATGTTCACTGTTGTCCTGCATTTTCTAGTTCCTTTTTTGTTAAGCATTACAGTCCGTACGATCGCCATCACCCTCAGCTTGGTGCGTAGATCCGATCAATGGACTCTGCCTTGACGCCAGTCTTCTGGAACGCACCCTGGATGGACTCAGCAAAGTACCTTGTGAATGGTAAAGACCGGAATCACTTCACCACCCACGGCTCCTGACAACCCCATGACAATCTAGGCCTGAATCTGCCAGTCCTTAAGTCTTTTTGCCAGGTTGCTCCTTCAAGCCCTTTGCACCCTTCTGGAAGTTGGGATATCCTCCAGGCCAATTCTACAGAAATTGTAGGACCTAAACCCAAAGAAGCCTGTTCCGCAAGTGCTGAGCCTTCGAACATTCGGGCACGAGGATGTTCCTAATAGCAAAAGGCCTCCAACCTTATGGAGTGATGGCCTCCAACCACCAGCTATAGGATTGACTATGTCCAAACCCCTGCAAACATTGTGGGCAACCAGAGCGGCAACAACTGACATTTGTCCTTTCCCGACAAAGGGAGTGACGTGCCCGCCAACAAGGTAGACTTTTCGCAGCATGGCCTCAGTGTCCCGAAATGCTCGCCAAGTGGTTGGAGAAACAAATCCTCAATCACAGTAACTAAAAGTAGAAGCTACGTTAAGATGGGCAACTGAAAACAGCGCTTCAAAATCACCATGTGACTTGCGAAGGCCCTGGATATATCCGCCGACCCCGCCGGTTGAAGGGGGCGCGCGCCAGAGGAGGCAACCGAGGGCATGCTGGAAGCGTTGCGGAAGGTCTGACAGCTTGAAGCGTTGCTGAAGGTCCGACAGCGG